ATTAATCCAAGATTGATGACCCATGCGGATTTTTCAGAATTGTGGGCAATAGCATTTTTTCCTCTTTTTTTTTTCTTTTGCTTGCTGCAAATACCATTAGATACTGTTTCCCGAGTTTTCTTTTTGCACATTTAAGGGCAGTAAAGCTAAATGGTAGAAATGGAGGAGAGCTTTGTCTTGCAAAGGCCTATTGTGTCCATTTGCACTTTTATCTTTTTTCCTTGGCAAATAATTGGATAACCAAACCCTGACCTTCTTATCAAATGTTGGCTTGATGAAACTAGTTGTGGGCCAAATGGGCTGATCTATACAATACAATAGCAATACAGCCCATGCAGGCAGGCGTAGGGCTGCATTGCTATTGTCTTTCTCATCTTCTCATCTTTACTACTATATTCTCCTATTGGTAGGTTATGATGTATCAATTGTTCAATCAATCAATCAATCAGAACAGAGCTGAAAGGGGCCAATCAATCAGAACAGAGCTGAGAGAGGTCTTCTAGTCCACACACACCCCTGCTCAAGCAAGGGACCTTATACAATTTCAGACAAGTAGCTGTCCGATTTCTTCTTAAAAACCTCCAGTGATGAAACACCCACAACTTCTGAAGGCAAAGCTGTTCCACTGGTTAATTGTCCTCACTGCTAGAAAGTTTCTCCTTAATCCCAGGTTGCTTTTCTCCTTAATTAGTTTCCACCCATTGCTTCTTGTCTTGCCTTCTGGTGATTTGGAAAATAAGTTGACCCCCGCTTCTTTGGGGCAGCCCTCAAATACTGAAATGCTGCTGTCATGTTCACCTCTAGCCCTTCTTTTCTCTAGACTAGCCATACCCAGTTCCTGCAACCCTTCTTCATATCTTAGTTGCACTTCTCTGCGTGTTTTCCAAAATCTTAATTTTTCATCACATTTTTTTGTAATGTGATGACCAAAATTGGATGCAGTATTCCAGGTGTGGTCTTACTAGGGTTTTATAAAGCGGTATGAATACTTCACGTGATTTGATTCTAGGCATCTGTTTCTGCAACCAAGGATTGTATTAGCTTTGTTGGCTGCTACTGCACACTGCTGGCTTTGTGTTATGGCTTTGTATTAGCACACTGTTGTTTGTATCTTATGATTTATGATCTATGACTTATCATTTTGTTGTTTGTATGTACACTGAGAGCTTATACACTAGAGACAAATTCCTTGTGTGTCCAGTCATACTGAGCCAATAAAGAATATTCTTCTATAGGTAGGCCTCTAAACTTAGGGTTCTAAAAGTCAGGATATCAGTTTCGCTTTGGTATATTTAAAGCCTTGTGTTCTGACCCAGTCAAACGTAGTTAAACGCAAACTTGTTTTAAAAGCAAAACCTATTTTATTGCAACACTGGGAATTACTTTCATTCCCAGCCAGAACTAATTATAAACAGTTCCCCAAGATAAGCACACGCCTTTCAGTGCTGTGGAATGCTGCCCAAAACAGAAGTCTTCAGTTATGACAGAAACCCACCAAAGTACCAGAAAAAAACAACAACCATACACAAAGCTTCAAGGAGGACTTGGAATCTATTGAACTACTTTGCTTCCTGCAAAGATTTCGGCCTCGAGGTCTGACTTTTATCCCTTATGGGAGGGGCAATCACCTCCCAGCCTTACTCCCAAGTCACCCTTTCTGTTTCAGCTGCTCTTGCCTTCTAGCAGCTCTGCACATATGCACACTGGGAACAGGCTCCCCTGGGTCCTCTGCTTCGCTGCTGCCAGAGTCCGAAAGCAGCACCCCACTCCCAGATGGTCCTGGCCCCATCCCTGCATCAGACGAAGGACCCTCGTCCAAGTCCTCTCCAGACTCCCTGACTAGTTCCCTTTCTTCCTCACTGTCCGATTCTGCTACCGGCTGCACCGGCTGCCCGCAAACCACAACACCTTGGCTGGAAAAAAAAAACCGTCAAAGGATAAAGGAAACTGTAATTTACTCTCAATCTGGTAGCCAGATTTGCTATGGGGCAGGATACCGGACACGAAGACAAAGTATATTCAGATGCTGAATAACTGCTTACATTATAAACCAAATATACCAAATAATCCAGAGCTGCCAGAACAGATTCTTCTAGCTAATCCAAGCCACAACAAAGTAGCCAGGCTGTCATTAAAAGAGCCAGGAAAATTTATTTCACAGCATACAGCAGAGGTGGTATTCAGCAGGTGCTGACCAGTTGTGGAGAACCAGTAGTGGAAATTTTGAGTACTTCAGAAAATCGGGAAATCCCACCTCTGACTGGCCCCGCCCCCATCTATTGTCTGCCTCCCGAGTCCCAGCTGATTGGCTGGGTCTTCTTTGGTTGCCCTGCACAGGAGAACGGAGCTGGAAAGCAGGTTAGTGGGGTGTGGAGGGAATGGGGATTTTGCAGTATCCTTCCCCTGCCACACCCACAGAACCAGTAGTAAAAAATTTTTTTGAATCCTACCACTAGTCAGAAGGTCACCAAAGGAATTGTGGCAATGAGAACAACAAAAGAAATAACTAGCAGTCAGCACAGCTTTGTTAAGAACAGATCATGCGAAACCAATCTTATTTCATTCTTCAACATAGTGACTAAATTAATAGACCAGCAAAATACTGTGGGCATAATATATTTAGATTTTAGCAAGGCATTCGACAAAGTAGACCACAACCTACTTCTTAATAAGCTAGAAAAACGTGAAATACATAACACCACCACTAGATGGACTCACAACTGGCTGACAAACTGTACTCAACGAGTAGTCCTTAATGGGTCTAAGTACATGGAGGGAGGTAAGCAGTGGAGTGCCACAAGATTCCGTCTTAGGCCCAGTACTCTTCAATATCTTCATTAACGACTTAGATGAGGGAATAGAAGGGGAACTTACCAAATGTGCAGATGATACTAAGCTGGCAGGAATAGCTAACACCCAAGAAGATAGGCTCAAGATCCAGATGGATCTTGACAGACTAGAATACTGGGCCATATCTAATAAAATGAAATTCAATATAGAGAAAAGTCAAGTCCTACACTTAGGCAAGGAAAACCAACAGTACACATTATAGACAGGATGAAACCAGGCTCAATAGCAGTAACTTGGAGTCTTAGTGGACAACCAGCTAAATAGGAGCCAGCAGTGTGCAGCCGCCGCCAAAAAAGCTAATGCAATCCTAAATTGCATTAGCAGAGGGATACAATCGAGATCAAATGAGGCACTAATACCACTCTATAAAGCCTTAGTAAGACCTCGCCTAGAGTACTGCATCCAATTTTGGTCACCACATTATAAAAAGATGTTGAGACTCTAGAAAAAATGCAGAGAAGAGCACCCAGGATGATTAGGGGACTGGAGACTAAAACATATGAAGAATGGTTACAGGAACTGGGCCTGACTAGTCTAGTAAAGAGAAGGACCAGGGGAGACATGATAGCAGTCTTCCAATATTTGAGGGGCTGCCACAGAGAGGAAGAGGTCAAACTGTTTTCCAAAGCACCCGAAGGCCAGACAAGGAATAATGGATGGAAACTGAACAAGGAGAGATTTAACCTGGAAATAAGGAGAAACATTTTGACAGTGAGAACAATCAACCAATGGAACACCTTGCCCTCGGAAGTTGTGGGAGCGCCATCAGTTGAGACTTTCAAGAAGAGATTGGACTGCCATTTGTCAGAAATGGTGTAGGGTCTCCTGCTTGGGCGGGGGTTGGACTAGATGACCTACAAGCTCCCTTCCAACTCTGATTATCTGTTATCTGTTAAAAGGGATTCTGGCAATGAGAACAACACATTCCACGCCAGTGTAGTTTTCTGCTAACTCAGGGATATATGGAGAGAACTTCTGCTTAACAGTGGCGGGAAATGGAAAGTGGTTTTTAGAGTTTAACACCAAAATCATAGCGCACATTTTTATTTTAACTTCCTGAAAGTACATGCAGAAACCACTCCACTCCTGGATGGAAAAAAAAAAGTCATGTATCTATCGGGTTATTCATTTATTTGTAGGGAAAAAAATTAGTGACATCAACAATTACGTGGCACATTTATGGTTTCCTGGATCACTTTTCTCTTTGTTTTCCTGTTGCTTTTTAAAATGACATCCAGATTTAAAATGTAATTATGAAACTAAACAAGGACATTCGCAAGTTGTGCGTATACGTGTGTCCAACAAGTTCAGGTGGCAACCACAACCTCACAGTAAAAAGACCTGCCCCTCCCATGGATGTCATAGAGTCTAATCTGGATATAGAAGTAGCAAACTGTCCCTGGGACTTCAGTATTTTGAATCAAACAGGAAACAGAAGTCTTTTAATTCAGAAGTGCTCTGACTTATTTATTGCTTCCTGGGGATTTCAAATAGCCTCTTATCATGACTCCCTGATTCATTTGTTTACTCAAATACTTTTCTTTTCTCACAAAGAGGCCTAATCATGAACTATGAAACTACATTATGCGATGGGATGATGTAAAATATGAAAAAGAACCACTTATGGCACTACAACATTCACACACAAACATTCGCCCTCAGTAAACAAGAATTAATATTAAGAGTCAACTGAGAATATGCTACTCCACTGGCAATTTATTTAATAGTAATTCCGCTGCCATGGTCTATAAGAAGTCATAACAAACAGGGCAGAAAGTACAAGGAAGAAGCTTTTAATTACCATTGTGTTAATTAACATTACAAAGCTTAGGGGAACGGGATTAACTTTTGAATAAATATTATACAAGGATTTTAGAAGAAGGCAAGCACGGGTGCGTAATATACAGTATTATGAAAGGAACCATTGGCTTAATTCTATTTTCAGCTCATCAGCATTTTTTCAATATCTGTTTGGAGCACCTCAAGGCTTTGACACAATGAGCTTTGGACCAAATTAGGTTCTGAGCCTTCTGCTGAAAATATCAATGAATCACAGATACCATCAAGCTAATATTTAATAATGGTCATTGAGATTGTTGACTTGGAAAATATTGTATGGAGTTCTGGTTAAGAGCAAATATTAGCAGTTCATTGCATGGGAATGAATTTCAAGGAGTTGTTCAGATGTTTTCTTAACCAATCCTGCACTTGAAATAGACTGATGTAGAAGTCTCGTGGCTTGTATGCTTTGCTTGGCCGATCTCGTATTATCTCCCCATTGTCATTTTTATTCTTCTTCGCACATGGATCATACGTGCCCCAGCTGATCACACCCACCTAGAGGGAAAGACAAGGGAATGGTAAATAATAAACTAGATAACCTGCATCAGATCCAGTGAGTCACTTATTGTGGTTATTAATGATCTTGGCCAACCCAAATCTCGCCGTTTCGTGCCCTTCACGGATAGGATGGCTCTGAACAGGGAAAATCCTCCATCTTCCAATAGGTACAAGCTTTGGGTTGCTGTTCCCAAGTATGATGTCAAAATGTACATCATGAAGTCATTTTGCAAGAGCCGTGGTGGCGCAGTGGCTAGAATGTGGTATTGCAGGCTATCCACTGTAAGGAGTTCGATCCTGATCGGCTCAAGGTAGATTCAGCCTTTCACCCTTTCGAGGTGGGTACAATGAGGAGCCAGATTGTCGGGGGCAATATGCTAACTCTGTAGACAGTTAGAGTGGGGTGTAAAGCACTTTGAAACCATATATAAGTGCTATTGCTCTTTATCCTTTCATCATGCTATCACACCCAAGTATGTCCAAAGTGGAGTTCTCATTGTGATGTCACCATGAACTTTTCGCGACTTGCCCTCCTGCTTCCTCATGGGTACTTACTAATTGAACATATGTGGTAACGGAAACGGGGTTGAAATGACCGCCTGCCAGATGACCCTTGCAATAACTTAATAACAATGAGATTATAATCACCACCGCTACTCTAAAGATTGCAGGACTTTGTATACGTTCACATACTGAACTAAGTTCTAATTATCATGGTCAAGCCGTACCACTGTAGTTAGTTCAATAAATCACATCTTTTTAAAAAAAAAACCTGGCTTAGAAACAGGTAGGATGTCAAGGAGAGACTGGCCGGAGCCAGATGAAAAAAGCCTTAACCAACTAACTTCAGCTACTTTTTTTTTTTTAACGTATGGCCCGTGTTAGCCAGGTATCACCGAGGTGGCTGGCTGCCTCTGGGAAAGGACTTTTTTTGGGGCGGTGTTATCTTTACCCATGGGAAGCCTGAATGCCGGTAGGCAATTGGGCGAGGCTCCTTTCTTGTCCCTCCATGGTTTATTTGCTCATGGGAATCAAGCTGCTGACCAAGAGGTGGTATGCAGCAGGTTCTGACCAGTTCTGGAGAAACGGTAGCGGACATTTTGAGTAGTTCGGAGAACAGGCAAATCCCACCTCTGACTGGCCCCACCCCCATCTATTCTCCCGAGTCCCAGCTGATTGGCTGGGTCTTCTTTAGCTGCCCTGCACAGGAGAACGGAGCTGGAAAGCAGGTTAATGGGGTGAGGCGGGGATGGGGATTTCGCAGTATCCTTCCCCTGCCACGCCCACTAAGCCATGCCCGCCAAGCCACGCCATGCCCACAGAACTGGTAGTAAAACATTTTGAATCCCACTACTGCGCTGACCTCAGCGGTGCGCAGGCACAGTCTTAGCACGTGAGCCACCACGGCCCCTACTTCAGCTAGTGTACATGCCGCATTCAAATCCAGGACATAATTCACTACCTGAAAATGTCTTTCTCTCCTTTCCACAAAGAGCGATCCCCCGGATTCACCTGAAAAAGGCGGGAGAAGGGAAATTAAACAAGAGGACAAATTTCACCAAAGTTCAAAAGAAGTTCAGGCTGGGCAAAACTTAACCGCCGATTAGATGAACAATAGAAGGATAAGGTCTTGTTCTTTCTCCTGATCAGAGATCTATCTTTACATCTGGGGAGACCTAAGACAGAGGACTTCTAAACCTACGGACCTAATGCTTTTGTTTAAAGACAATTGTTTATATATCACTAGCCTCTGATAGGTTTATTTTTAAAAGACAACAGATTGTCTTATGTAGATCATACATCTTAGAATCTTGTTGTTGTTAGTTGCAAAGTTGTGTCTGACCCAACGTGACCCCATGGACAACGTTCCTCCAGGCCTTCCTGTCCTCTCCCATCCCCCAGAGTCCATCTAAGCTCCCTGCTTCAGGGACTCCATCCAGCCCCCTCATTCTCTGCCGTCCCCTTCTTCTTCTTTGGCCCTCAATCGTTCCCAGCATTAGGCTCTTCTCCAGGGAGTGCTTCCTTCTCATGAGGTGGCCAAAGTCTTTTGAGTTTTCATCTTCAGGATCTGGCCTTCTAAACAGCAGCCAGGGTTGATCTTCTCTAGGACTGACCGGTTGGATCACCTTGCTGGAAAAGACTCGCAGGAATCTCCTCCAGCATTACTCCTACTATTTCATTTGAAATGCCAATTTATATCCTACGGTTGATAAAGCCAAATAGAAAACTATTCTGGTCATCAAGATGCAAACTATGTCAGGGAGTAGCCAGCTGTTCCATGGAGGGAATGCCGCCTCCTCCTCCTCCTCCTCCTCATTAATCAATGCACCATAGGATAAAAGACTGACCACAGAACATAGCAACTAGACAATAAATGCAAGCCAGTTGCCAAGCACCCTAAATGCATTTATGTGTCTGTGGTGGGAATGGGGGTGAGATATGACAACCATAACTTTGAGGATTGGTACTGGTCCTAAGTGGCTTTTGTTGACTGTAATGTTGGTCGTTTAGCGACTGGTTGTAAGTCTAGGCTACCTGTATTTCTAAAGGATTGGGGTGTGGGAATGGTGCAAAATGGTGCTCCTTGTCTAGTGACTCCAACTTAGGTGACATAGCTTGGCCAGAATTCAACCCTCCCTCTTTGACGTACCACACTTCTACATGCATTGGGGGATATAGTGTCACACCTCTTTTGTAGGTAAAATTCACCTTTGCAAGTGTAGGCTTCCAGCGATTTATCTTCTCCACTGCATAGGAACCTGTCAGTCACCACGTCATCGACATTGGACACATTGGCATATATCATTCCCTCCTGAATAGCTCCAGAAACGCACGTGGGACGCTGCAAGAAGCCACAGTTTAACAGATCTGTTACAGGAGAAGCTAATTGAGCCATTGGTTCAAGGGCTCTCGTGTGTGTGTGTGTGCGTGTGTGCGTGTGTGTGTTCATTCAAATTGGATTCTATGGAAATTCTCAGTCATCCAGGTCATGGTTGTCCCAAAGATGCTTATTCAAAAGGCAACTGGACGTCGCTTTTTCTTGAAGGCATTTCGCTTCTCATCCAAGGAGCTTCTTCACTTCTGACTGAATGGTGGAGGGTGGAAGGATTCATAACGCAGTCCTCAACTATCTCCAGTGTACAACACACTCCCTTGCAGCAGTTCCAAGAAGGTTCCACACCAATTTGCACTATTCAGGTGACCCTGAGGGCACAGATAAACCTCAGAGAGAGTGCAAAGGACCGGATGACTGCAAGGAATGTAAGTCCTTCCATCCTCCACCATTCTGTCAGAACTGAAGAAGGTTCTTGGATGAGAAGCGAAACGTCTTCAAAGAAAAACCAAGTCCAGTTGCCTTTTGGAAAAAAAAAACACCTTTGGGAGTTCAAATTGGGTTTTGAATGCTGGTGACTGCCTCTACTAGTCCCTAAAGCAGTGTTTCTCAACTCTGGCAACTTTAAGACGTGTAGACTTCAAATCCCAGAATTCCCCAGCCAGTATCACCACTGCCCTACAGTTATCTTGGAAATATTTTTCAAAAGTGGCTTGGCATTGCCTCATTCCTAGGGCTGAATGGAAGATAGTGGCTCAAGGTCACCCAGCTGGTTTTGTGCCTAAGGCAAGACAAAAACACTCTGTGGTCTCCATCTGTTCTTGAGACAATAGAAAACTGTACTGGTGTGAAATCAGCTGCCTCCAGTGTTGATTTCTCTCCTGCCTCCATTGTGTCTGTTCAGAGCCACCACTAAAGGCTTCTGGCTTTGCAACCTTCCTGAACATTTGTAAACATCGCCACCCCGCAGTTAGGATAATTTTGGAGAGATATCTGGCTAAATGCAATAAAGCCAGGCCTTGGGGTCATCATGGCTGGAAGTCATCTGGCTTTCTTGCTTTATCACAGGGGATTCCAAACGTGGCAACTTTAAGGGTTGTGGACTTCAACTCCCAGAATTCCTCAGCCAGGAATTCTGGGAGATGAAGCCCACTAGCCTTAAATTTGCCACCTTTGGAGGCCGCTGTTTATCATGCCACTGTTTATCATTTCCCATTCAGCTGATGCATCCTCTTGTTCATCGCACAGCATCATTGCTCAAAACAAGCACCGCAACCAGATCTTTGGTTTAGGGGCTTACCCTACATGTGGAGAAGTGAGAGAAGTTCCCTTTTTCATGGAGGGGCAGAATAAACCCTCTGAACAGCTGGTGTGGAAAAAAGAGGGTAACACTCCCACTACAGCCTGCCTGGGTTGGTTTCGAATCTATGCCCAAATTATCCCAAAGGTGCTTTTTCCAAAACTGGACTTTCTTGGTTTTCTATTTCCTTTGAAAATGTTTCGCTTCTCCTCCTCAGCTAGAGTTGAATTAGAGATGATAGGAGAAGTTTAGAACTGAAGAAGCTACTCGGGTGAGAAGCAAAATGTTTTCAAAGGGAAAAAAAAACCCCAAGAAAGTCCAGTCGCCTTTTGGAAAAAGCACGATCTGGATGATTAAGATCTCCATAGTCATTGTGCCCAAAATAAAACATAATACAGTAAGATTCAGCTAATTGGGTTTTTTTTTTTCCAGTGACCTGCTATAGAAGCCAAATGTTGGATTCTGAAGAATCAGGAGAAAAAGATTATTGATGCTTTGAACTTGGTGATGGAAATATTGACTGGAAGTTTCAAAAAGTTGGGTTGGTGACAGACCATCCATCCATCCATCAGCCTCAGAGTCTTTTCCCACTGCAAGTTCCTCACCAATGACATTTACTCATTGCCAAGTTCTCCATCTCCGAGTCAGAGAAAACGATCAACATAAATCAATCCTTCCTGTGGTCTGTTGTTTTCCTGCCTTTTCCCCAGTCCTACTTTTCTAAACTAAGGTAAAGCAACACAGCCGAATGGATTTTATTTAGCTTTGGCCTGTCTTTTCAGCACTATTAGCTCGAAGAGGGAATTCATTACTTTAAGGACGGTTTAAGCCTACCACACAAATAGGCCTGGGATGAAATGAACGCAGTGTCATGGGGATCGGAAAAAAAAGAGATTTCTCAAACGTTTATGCAAATGGCGCTCAGTCACTGTAACTCAGTCTTTCTCAACCTCGGCCATTTTAAGACAAGTGAACTTCACCTCCCAGAATTCCCCAGGTAGCATGCTGGCTAGGGAGTTCTTGGAGTTGAAGTCCACCTGTCTTAAAGAGGCCAAGATTGAGAAACACTGCTATAACTAATATATGTACCGTATATACTCGAGTATAAGTCGACCCGAATATAAGCCGAGGCACCTAATTTCGCCTCAAAAAACTGGGAAAACTTATTGACTCGAGTATAAGCCGAGTTTTTCAGCACATTTTTTGTGCTGAAACAAACCGAGTATATACGGTATTTATATTCTTCTCCGTTCCTATCAATTGTATTGCTGTTGTTAGTTGCGAAGTCGTGTCTGACCCATCACGACCCCATGGACAACGTTCCTCCAGGCCTTCCTGTCCTCTACCATCTTCTGGAGTCCATTTAAGCTCACTGCTTCAGTGACTCCAGCCAGCCACCTCATTCTCTGTCGTCCCCTTCTTCTTCTATTGCCCTCAATCGTTCCCAGCATTATGATCTTCTCCAGGGAGTCCTTCCTTCTCAATAGGTGGCCAAAGTCTTTGAGTTTCATCTTCAGGATCTGGCCTTCTAAAGAGCAGTAAGGGTGGATCTCCTCTAGGACTGACTGGTTGGGTGGCTTTGCAGCCCAAGGGACTTACAGGAGTTTTCTCCAGCACCAGAGTTCAAAGGCCTAAATTCTTTGTATACCTATACATTATTCATATAGTGCCAATTTTGTTAACATTTTTTTTTTTTAGCCAGAGCCACGGCTCTTGGCTTTATAATGAGCTTTGGCGGGATTCAGAACAAAAGGTGAACTTGGACAGAGCAAAAAAAAAACAAAAACTTTTCTGCTTTCTCTCCTGTGAGTTTGCTCTCTGGATAAATTGGGAGTGTGGTTGTATATGTGTAGCATTTGCATAGAGCAATTGGTTGGTTTCATCTGATGAAAAAGCTGGTGCATTTTAATGATAAAGCCACAACATTTGAGGAAAAAAGCCTCCTCCCCCCCCACCTCATTTTGGGAGCATCAAAAGTTTCTACTTTTCCCATATGGTGCAAAATCTGAAATACAACGAAGTATAGTACCTTCTGCATGAGTTTTTATTTTTTCCAGGAGTGTAACAACAAAAATGAACTTGACTGTGAAAAATTCGATTTTTGTAACAGGCTTGTCAACATCTGCAATACTTTACCCGGTTCAGTTGTTTCAGCTACTAACTTTCACAGTTTTAATTCCAATTTGACTTCTGTGGACCTGGTACCCTATTTAAGTTTCCCAAGGAGGCGTGCGTAAGTGCACTAGCGTGCTTACGGTCCCTATCACGTTTTAGCTTTTTCATTTTGTTCGTTCGGATTTGCAATTTTTGTTTCACCAATAATTAATTAATTTAAAATAAGCTTTAAAGCTTTTTTTTTTTGTATTTTCAAGGGAATGGCGAATTAACATTCTCTGATTTGTTTTCATTAAGAGACTTTTCCACCATTATTTCCTCTTCCCTATGAGGCTCTTATTACCCAGAATCCCGTAGGAGGGAAACCAAGCACTCACACTTGTTTTGGTCTTGATCTGCACATTCATTCTCTTGTGCTCCAAGGAGATGAATTCGGCAGGCACCTTCTCAAAACTCAGCAGCTCCAGTTCTGTGAAGCAGAAAGGGACATATAATTATGGCTTCAGGGGTGTCCAATCTTGGCAATTTCAAGAACTTTAGACTTCAATTCCCAGAATTCCCCCAACCAGAATGGCCATTGGCTGGGAATTCTGGGAATTGAAGTCCACAGGTCTTTAAAGTTGCTAAGGTTGGACACCGTGGTTTAAATAGATGAATATTTAGGCTCAAGCATCTAATAGGTTACAGCAAGGAAAACTCATCCTCAAACAAAAATAACCACACACTTATGGTGTTTCTGAACAGAGAAAGCAAGAAACATGGCAGATGAAAGAAAGTATGGGGGTTGTTTTCATTTTTACCCTCAGAAAATGGAATGGTGAAAGGCAGCTACCTAGAGTGGAGCAATTTCCTTTTCTGAAGAAACAGCTTATTTTGGGTTCTTTTTTGGGGGGGTTGGGAAACATACAAGATCTGTTTTCTATTAAAAAAAGAAACCCAGTTGTTCTAATGAAACTGGGTTGGGTTGTTTGTAAGCATGCCAAGAAACCTGAACTCAGCATGGGAAATCCTTTACAATATTTGTTCCAAATTATTTCTTCATCTTTTCTCTGAAATAGCAAAGGTTTTAACCTCCCAAGTTCCTCAAAATCTCTCATGTTATAACCCCAAGATAAGGATGTGCCTGCCAGTCTAAACTGGTCAGTCGGTCAGTCAATCAATGCCATATTGTCTAATGGGTATGTTCTCTTTTTAAAATTCACTTAAACATTTTTGCATCTTTTGCGAATATCCTTTAATGCAGATTGAACACTGGATGCTTAGCAGACTGTTCACTGCTGTTTTGAGATTTTTTTAAATTTTTTTAAATTTATTACATTTTTATGCTGCCCATCTTCCCACATGGTGACTCTTACAAGTTATAAAGCAAGTAAAAATAGTTAAAAGATTAAAACAATACAGAATTTAAATATTATTAAGAACTTAAAACTTAAAAAATGGGGGGGCAAGTGCATTTGAATATTTCATTTCAATTTCCAAATGAAAACAAATAACAAAAAAACAAAGCGAAAGTGGGCAATTTTCAGGTTTATATGGGACAATCGGAGCCAAAAAACACACACATTCACGAGAACAATGCAGGGAAATAGTGAACTGAGGGGAAAAATGCAATTGCAAAACATGGGTGTGTTTCACAAAATTGCAACCAATAATTGCCTTTTTGGGGAACTATTCGCTGAAACACATCGGAAATGAGTGCACATATTTAAAAAATTAAATTAAGTGTACCAAACTAAATATAACAGATTGAGAAAGTAAGAAGAACTGAAAATAATGGATTTCCCAAAAATGGAAGGAAGGAAGGTAACTGCTTTGTAAAAATGAGGAACTGATATTGACAGTACAGCCCTAGAGGGTCATATACAGAACATCTCTGGGGAGAATGTCAAAAGGGCAAGATAATGTATCTTCAGAACGCAATAAAAGCCCTGACTCTTTTAATCCAAGTTACGTATGATAAAAAAAAACATTAGGTGGGGCTTTTTCTGCATAGTTGAAGCCACCATCTTGATTCATCCACCAAGAATGTCCTCACTGCAGATACTGAGAAATATCTCCATCAGGGAAGAGAAAACTTTCTGTAATGGTATGCACAGAGGTGGGATTCAGCAGGTTCTGACCAGTTCTGGAGAACCAGCAGTGGAAATTTTGAATAGTTCAGAGAACCGACAAATACCAACTCTGACTGGCCTCGCCTCCATCTATTCTCTGCCTCCCAAGTCCCAGCTGATCGGCTGGGTCTTCTTTGGTTGCCCTGCACAAGAGAATGGAGCTGGAAAGCAGGTTAGTGGGGTGGGGAGGGAATGGGGATTTTGCAGTATCCTTCCCCTGCCACACCCACAAAGCCACACCCAGAGAACTTGTAGTAAAAAATTTTTGAATCCCACCATTGGGTATGCGAGAAAGACCTTGAGAGATGGGGTGAAGAAAGGCTGCCTAGACAACATAAACCAGAGCTCCATAACAGGGAGGTCTTTCTCTCAGTTACTCATGCCTTGCTCATCAGAGACAGAAGGATAGAATCAGAATCACCTGAAGGGTTAGTACCACTTTATAATGCCTTGGGAAGGCCACACTTGGAATACTGCACCCAGTTTCGGTCGCCATGATATAAAAAAGATGTTGAGACTCTAGAAAGAGTGCAGAGAAGAGCAACCAAGAGGATTAGGGGACTGGAGGCTAAAACATATGAAGAACGGTTGCAGGAACTGGATAGGTCTAGTCTGATGAAAAGAAGGACTAGGGCAGACATGATAGCAGTCTTCCAATATCTCAGGGCCTGCCACAAAGAAGAGGGAGTCAAGCTATTCTTCAAAGCGCCAGAAGGCAGCATAGGAAACAATGGGTGGAAACTAATCAAGGAGAGAAGCAACTTAGAACTAAGGAGGAATTTCCTGACAGAACAATTAATCAGCTGAAAAATTTGCCTACAGAAGTTGTGAATGTTCAAACACCGGTAATATTTAAGAGACTGGACAGCCCTTTGACTGAAATAGTATAGAGTTTCCTGCCAGAAAAGGGAGTTGGACTACGACCTCCAAGGTCTCTTTCAACTCCGTTATTCTGTTATCTCCTCTAAGTGCACTCTACACGGGGCCACCCTTGAAGAGTATCCGGGAGCTGCAGCAGGTGCAGAATGTGGCCATGTCATTAGCGTGGGGCACCCCAAGGATTATGCCTGTAATATCTTTGCTGCATTGGATGCCACTTTGCTTCTGGATCCAATTCAAGGACTTGGTCTTTAAAGCCCTTCGTGGCATGGGACCAGGTTATCTAAGCAGCCAACTTGTCCCAGTTGCACTAACCCAGGGGTAGGGAAATTTGGCTCTTAAGTGTCCATAAGTGATAAAAGAGCCAAGTTTCCCTACTCCTGAACTAATCCATCCTACCCAGTCAGGCAGGCAGTCCTTGATTTATAACTATTCATTTAGTGACTGTTCAAAGTTACAGCAGCACTGAAAAAAAAAAAAGACTTACGACAGTTTTTCACACTATTTGTCAATGTTCCAGCAAACCTCCATTCCAATCAATAACTCCGAGACAGACATATCTCAAAGATACCTTTATTTGGATAGTAAGCTGGCACATCTGTGGAATCCCGTATCTCAAAGTTTCGGGGCTTCCTTGCAATATTCAAAACTACAGATCCATCCCCACCTTGGCCGTCATCACATCACATGGCCCAATCACGATCTGTCCTAAAGTAAGATTCTTATTTCACTCTGCGTCATACTCAATGACCTTGAATTAACCAAAGAATTGTATTTTGTCTACTTAGAGCTAGTCAATTGAATTCACCGCCATCCCACTTTCTCAGGCTGTGTGGCAGCGTGGGAGCATCGAATCTCAATATGGCTTCCAAAGCTGACACAATATTATTGCAGCATTCCCATGGTCAGATGATCAAAATTCAGTTAGCACTTAACCATATATGCCGCTTGAAAGGGCTTTACAGCCCTTTCTAAGCAGTTTTACAGAGTCAGCCTATTGCCCCCCCCCCACCCCCCAACAATCTGGGTCCTCATTTTACCCATCTCGGAAGGACAGAACCCTGAGTCCACCTTGAGCCTGGTAAGATTCGAACTGCCGAATTGCAGGCAGCCAGCAGGCAGCAGAAGTAGCCTGCAGTACTGCACTCTTAACCACTGCGCCACCGTGGCTCATGCTTGGCAACTGTTTTTTTTATTTATGGTGGTTGCAGTCTCCCGGAGTCATGCGGTCATCTTTTGTGACCGCCTGACGAGCACAATCAATGGAGAAGCTTAGCCCTTGTAGAGATTCACTTAGCAACTGTGGCAAGAAAAGTTGTAAAACGGAGCAAAACTCACTTAGCAAGTGTCTTGCTTAACAGCAGAAAAGTTGGGCTCAATGGTGGTGGTAAAACGAGGATTAACTATACTTAAGAAATTCTGACTTGGAGGGTTTAGGAAGAGGGGGGGCGGTTGCCGCTGTCCCCACCTTATGGAACACTTTGCTCCCCCCAGAGTCGAGATCGGCCTCCATTCTCCCAGCCTTCTGGAAGAGCGTGAAGTTCCTGGTTCTGCCAATTCAGGTGGGGATCAAAGAGCCGCATGCAGCCTTGGAGAAGGGTTTCTCCCTCCACCTTTTAATTTTACCTTTAATCTCGTTAATCGTCATTTGGCTTTAATTCTCTTTTGCCTGTATCTTTTATATGATTTTATGACTTTTTATCTGTAAACACCCCAGTCGTTTAGATCAGTGGCCCCCAATCTTTTTTGAACCAGGGACCGGTTTCACGATTATTTATTCTTCCACGGACCGGTACCTGAGTAACGCGAGACTCCAACGCCATCGGGACGGCTCTTCGTTCGAAGCCACACACCCCTTCGACAAAACTAAGGCGTGAGCACCCAAGCACTGCTTTCCAACCGAAAACCCGGAAGCAACCAAAAACCCCGAAGCGCCGTCGAAACAAGATGGCAGCGCCCAAGCTTTGCGGCCTGGTAAAAAATGATCCACGGACCGGTACCGGTCCAGGGACCGGTGGTTCGGGACCCCTGGTTTAGATGATGAGATGGGTTGTGTCTGAATTTGATGAATACAGCATTTAAATAATGGACGGACAACGTTCTACCTGTCAACGACTTCTTCAGCTTCAAACACAATAACACACGGGGCAAACAATAGATACAAACTCAAAGTGAACCGCTCCAAACCCGATTGCAGAAAATACGACTTCAGCAACAGAGTTGTCAGCGCCTGGAACTCACTACCTGACTCTGGTTTCTTCCCCAAACTCCAAAAACTTTAACCTTAGACTGTCTACCGTGGACCTCATTCCATTCCTAAGAGGTCTGTAAGGGGGCGTGGATAAGTGCACCAGTGTGCCTACCATCCCTGTCCTACTGTTCCCATTGATTCGTACTCATTTATTATGTATATACTTATATACCTGTTTATACTTAATGTTTATATGTTATGTTCATACTTATACTCGTTTTCTCATACATGCTTGACAAACTAAACTAAACTAAACAAAAAAATAAATAGAAATAAAGGAAACCTTCCTAAGTTATCAGACTGTAAAGAGGCAAGTAAGAAATCTGTTCTTTCAAACTGGCAAGTTTCTGTTAACGTTGCCTTCCTAATAAAACAGAATTTATTTGTTTCTCTGTGTCATATATGTGGGTATATGCATAATTTTTGCATTTATCTATTTATTTTGTCATGCTTATGTAGTGTACATTGGCGGTGGTGACCCTTTGCGAGCTGTGTGCAACGAAATTTCATTCAAAGTGACAGTGAAGTTATTCTAAGTTCTAATTAGTTCATTGGTCATGATTCTTGCCTGTTCTATTGGGAAAGCTGATGCCCCCTGTACAATTTAACAGAATAACAGAGTTAGAAGGGACCTTGGAGGTCTTCTAGTCTGACCCCCTGCTCAGTCAGGAAAACTTGCACCATTTCAGACAACTCTCTTCTTAAAAACCTCCACTATTGACGCACAAGCAACCTCTGAAGTTGTTCCACTGGTTAATGGTTCTGTTAGGAAACTTCTCTTAAGTTCACTCCTTGATTCAAGGCAGCACATATTAAAGGTACGGAGAAGCCCGGTATCCTTACCATGATCCCTGCATGTTGTTGTTCCAGGTTTTTTCTTCAGGGCTCTGCTGGCCCCTTCGGTGCAAGGGAGGCAGATGGGTCTGGAAAGAAAAAAAAAATATGGATTGGTTTAATTTAATGACCCTTAGGAGAAATCCAGAAAGGTAGGTGGGTAAGTGACAAGAGGAATAATTCATCATGAAGTATCGGTACCGCTTTATAAAGCCTTAGTAAGACCACTGTTGGGTATATGGATACACCAACTAGGTTTGGGTGAATAAATATATGAACCTAGGTTTAAGTGTTTGTAGCTTTAAGCACCAAACTGCAATGTAATTAGATAATTAAGGGTGCGGTTGCAAGCAGCAATAAAAGGCAGTAGAGAGTAACGTAGCACTCCCTGGTTACTGATCCTGGTTACTGACTGCTGGTCACTGGTCTGGTCTCTCTGATCTCTGCTGCCTGCTGTTTACTCCTGTATGAGACGTCTGCTTGTTAATGCTTGTTGGCTACTGTGCTGAACAAAAGGACTGTTTACTTGGTGAGCTGATATCCTGTGTATACTCAGCGTTGTCTTCGAGAGAAAGGTATCGGGAGGAGAAGATTTACAAGCAGTTAAATGACATTGTACTGACTAGTTTAATGAACTAGGTTACTGGATGGATATATTGTGTATGACATATGGACTGAATGACGCTGCTTAAACTCTGAATGAATTAAATAACTATTTAAAACTACAAACAGTGTTTTTTGTCTCCAGTGTGTGTATACTCTTGGGCCCAGCCTCTCTCATTTGGCTGCCTGGCTTGACTGCTGCTGTACACTCTGCTTGGGGGTTTGTCCCCAAACACTAACAACCACACCCGGAGTCCTGCATCAAGTTTTGATCCCAACATAACAAAAAAAAGATATTGAGGCTTTGAAAAAAAAAAAAAGTACAAAGAAGAGCAACTAAGATGATTAAAGGCCTGGAGACTAAAACATATGAGGAACGGTTGAAAGAATTGGGTTATGGCCAATCTAGAGAAAAGAAGGACTAGGGGTGACGTGATAGCAGTCTTCCAGTATTTGAGGAGCTGCCACAAAGAAGAGGGGGTCAACTTATTTTCCAAAGCACCAGAAAGCAAGACAAGAAACAATGGATGGAAACTAATCAAGAAGAGAAGCAACCTAGAACTATGGGAAAATTTCCTAACAGAACTAACCAGGGGAACAGCTTACTTTCAGAAGTTGTGGGTGCTTCATCACTGGAGGTTTTTAAGAAAAGACTGGACAGCCACCTATCTGAAATGATTTAGGGTCTCCTGCTTGAGCAGGTGGTTGGACTAGAAGACCTTTAAGGTACCTCCCAGCTCTATTCTGATTGAAAGAAGGGCAGGATGGCAATTCAAGTTGGGTAGAACCAGAGGGGATTTCCCAACTGTGGAAATTAGCAATTGGGTCAGCAAAACTCCAAAAGAGGATGCAATCGGAGGGGATTTTCTTAGCCACAACCAAGGGCTTACACAACCTTGACTGGCCACCCTTCTTGTTTAGGATACTCAATCCACTGCACCCGCTACCAAAGCCGGTACCTGTTTATTTGCTTAAAAAGTTAAAGGGGGCTTTCTCCGTCCTTTCTGCCACTACAGGGTAAAAGTGTAATAAAAATAAACATCTCAGTAATGGTAAAGTCAACATGAGAACACAAGACTTCACTGTAGTAAACATGAAAGTCAGGAGGTCACAAACACTTTAAGCCTCACTCATCACCTTGTTGAGTGACTGCCTCACACAGGAACGATGCATAGTTATGACAGTGATTAAAAAAAGTAATTTTGCAACCAGTCCTCTCATTTATGAACTTTTCTGGTCTGTAACGCAAAGAAAATCTATCTTTGTATTAACACATGTATTTTTATCATTTTATTTCATCTATCCATCTATCTATCAATCTATATAGAATAGAATAGAACAGAACAGAACAGAACAGAATAGAATTCTTTATTGGCCAAGTGTGATTTGACAAGCAATTTACCTGTGGTGCGTATGCTCTCAGTGTACTTAAAGAAAAAATAAAATACATTCATCAAGAATCACAAGACACAACACTTAGTGATAGTCATAGGTTACTAATAAGCAAGCAAATCATACTAGGAAACAAAACAATATAAATTGAAAAGATACAAGCAACAAACTTATAGTTACAAATGGGAGGAGTTAGGTAATAGGAAGAAGAATAATAGAAGAAGAAGAATAGTAATACAGTCTTAGTAAATAGTAAATATCCATCTATTTACCCATCTTGATATCTGTCTGTCTGTCTGTCTGTCTGTCTGTCTGTCTGTCTGTCTGTCTATCTATCCATCCATCTATCCCTTCATCCCTCCAACTAACTATCCATCTAATTCCAAAATTAGATTAGGTACTGTATTTTATGGATTCGGTAACAGAGTTAGAAGGGACCTTGGAGGTCTTCTAGTCCAACCTCCAGCTCAGGCAGGAAACCCTACACCATTTCAGACAAATGGTTGCCCAACCTCCTATTAAAAACTCCCAGTGTTGAAGCATTCACAGCTTCTGCAGGGCAAGTTGTTCCACTGATTAATTGTTCTAACTGTCAGGAAATTTCTCCTTAGTTCTAAGTTGCTTCTCTCCTTGATTAGTTTCCACCCATTGCTTCTTGTCCTTCTCTCGGGTGCTTTGGAGAACAAATTGATCTCCTCCGCTTTGTGGCACCCCCACAAATATTGAAACACTGCTGTCATGTCACCCACAAGTCCTTCTTTTCACTAGACTAGACATACCCAATTCCTGCAACCGTTCTTCCTGTGTTTTAGCTTCCAATTGTGGTTGCTAAATGAGAACTACCTATAAGTAGCCTAATGCGAATGAGTTTCCATGGAAGATCCTGCCTTGGTAGAGGATTCCTTTAACTCAGGGGTGGGCAAACTTTTTGGCTCGGGGGCCTCATTGACTTTTAAAATTTGACAGACGGGCCGGGTCAGCACAAAAAAAACTGCAAAATCTCCGCAAAATCAAGTCACCGCGCCTAATGCTCCACCTGGTGTCGAAATGCCTGTCATTACAAGTCAAAATCGAATGAATGCAATCATTCAAACATTCACATCAAACCTTAATTCTGTACCAATCTTCGGTGGGCCGGATTAAAAAGACCAACGGGCCGGATGTGGCCCGCGGGCCGTAGTTTGCCCACCCCTGCTTTAACTGGAGTGGAATTCCTTTAACAAGGCTTCAGTTGAGATGTGCAAGGAGCATAACCAGGGTCAATCAATCAATGTTTCAGAACAAATCAGGTGAACTTTAAAGCCTTGGCAAAACGACACAACACCTGATTCTTCCTCCGAAGGTCACCGGTTTCTCCAGTTCAATGAGGGAGATATCGTAGTCATAGAATTCTTGGATGCCCTGGGCCTTCTTAGCTCGAATGTTGTATAATTCATGGTCAATCCGTCTCTTTATTCCTAGCCTGATATCTCCACCTGCCAAGGGGAGAAAAAAAAAATCAGAGATCCTCAATTTTCTTTTTCTACTGTAAAAGATTGCATCAAGGGGGCCTTGGTGCTCTCTGAGCCTGGTTGTTTATCAGCGCTGAACTACTGTGCTTCCCCCAAAATAAGACCCTGTCTTATAATTTTTTTGCCACCAAAAAGGCACCAGGTCTTATTTTCGGGGGGTGTCATCCACTGACTAACCTCACTTGCACGTGTTGCCCCTCCGGCCTCCTTTTTGAAGTCAGAGGCCTTCAGGAACTTCTTCTTCTGTGGCCGGCAAGGCTTCCCTGAAGGCCTCCGCAGCTGATAACAGAAGATTGATCCAGAGCTCCAGATTGATCCAGAGCTTTGTTATCAGCTACAGAGGCCTTTTACCAGCCTTGCTGTCTGCAGAAGAAATGGACTGGCAAGGCAGTGGTCGGGGTATGCGAGGCCTGGCTACAACTATCCAAAGGTAAGTAGTAGGGCAGCTCCCCCTGCCCCTCTCCCCCACCCTAGCTTAATTTTTACCCGTCCACTCTGGAGTGGGTGGGATCTTAATTAGGGCTTATTTTGGAGGTAGGGCACACATGTAAAAATCAAGCTAGGACTTATTTTCAGGGCAGGTCGTATTTGGGGGGAAACCGGGTACTTGTTATTGACTAACAGTACTTGTTACCTTGTTTCATTTGGGTAATGGAATGTCTGCAAGGAAAAGGTCTGTAGAGATTTTCAGTCATATAGATCATGGTTGTCCCAGAGGTGCTTTTTTCAGAAGGCAACTGGACTTTCTTGTTTTTTTCTTTTGAAGATGTTTCGTTTCTCATCCAAGAAGCTTCTTCAGGATTTCTATTCCTTGCAGAACGGAATGATTTATATTCCTCGTCTGCAAGGAACAATAAATCCTTCCATTCCCCGCTATCCTGTCCGAGCTGAAGAAGCTTCTTGGAGAAGAAGCGAAACGTCTTCAAAAGAAAAAAAAAACAAGAAAGTCCAGTTGCCTCCTGAAAAAAAGCACCTTTGGGTTTGCAAGAAAACAACCAAGCTCAGAGAGCACCAAGGACCCTTCCTTCTTAAGCCAGGTAGGACGGCCTCATTTTTGACATTTCTGGAGATGATGTGAAGACAGTCAGCATCAAACTGCCGGGTCACAAAAATATCTCAATCTTCCAATAGAAGAGCATATCGATAGCTCAGAATTAAACTATGGGTAAAGAGCTTGGTTGTTTTCTTTCAGACATTGCAGAACCCAACTAGGAATCATCATCAGTGTCAGTTGATGATGATATTACTGATGAAGGTGCCCAGGTGGGTAATGAAACATCTGCAGATCATCTGCCACCTCACAGAGCATCAAGTGCTCCACATATCTCAGCCTTTTTCATAGGAGGGAGATCCCTCCACGGTCCATACTTTGTGTACAATAGGTGCAAGACTCTCGTATTCCTTGTAAGGAATGTCAGCTAACAAAAGAGATCAAACCTTTGAGCTGACGGGCCAGCATTGCAGTCAACTTATACTGATCAGAGGCCAAGCTCCACATTTCAATTAATGCAGATATATACCTGTTCATTACCAAATTTTGGTTACTCTGTCCATCTTTTGTCTCCCATCCCTTGGTGAAGCAGAGCCATGATCCCAGAAACTGCAGTTTTGACTCTTAGTGAAAAAATATCAAGCCTTTCCTCACTCTCTACATGTACCATGTGTTTGTGTAAACGGTATTGCATGTTATCAAATCGTGGTTAAAAGCATGGTGGCTATATTGTAGAAAGAAGGGTCATTAGATGATCTCTGAGATCTCTTCCAACATTAAGCCATCATTATGATGGTTTAATGTTGGCATCTCATAGGTCATCTACAAGATGGCCACCACTCGTCCTTTGAGGTAGATCAGGTGAGGAAGAGGACATTGGAAGAATCCAGGAATGCTACTTTATCACCGTAAAGCACTGTTTTCAACTTTGGCAACTTTAAGATGGCTGTCCCAAAGGTGCTTTTTTCAAGAGGCAACTGGATTTCCGGTTTTTCTTTGAAGACTTTTAATTCAAGCTGAAGAAGATTCTTGGATTGGATGAGAAGTGAAACGTCTTCAAAGAAAAACCAGAAAGTCCAGTTGCCTCATGAAAAAAGCACCTTTGGGACAACCATGACCTGGATGACTGAGAAATCTCCCTAGGCTTTTAAGATGGCTGGACTTCAACTTACCCACAATTCCCCAGCCAGCAGGTATGGGGAATGCCGGCATACTGGCTGGAGAATTCTGGGAATTGAAGTCCGCCGATCTTAAAGTGCCAAGTTTGAAAAAAATCCCGTTGCAGAATATAATCACAGAATCTTGAAAGCCCTTGCCATTTCTTATATGAAAACACAACTGCACTGACGTTATTCCCTTCTCACATCTCCCCTTTTCCCAGGACTGAGTTTGCCTTTAATATTTTTTCCTTGAGGCTGCTGCCTACTTTCATCAAGGTGTTCTCCACCTGTTCCCCTCCCCCTCTCCCTCCTCTCCCCCCCAATATGTGAACAAAACTAAAAAAAAATGAAACTGAGGAAAGACCTTGAAACACGCAGGGTATACGTTCTGAAGAAAACCAGTACCTTCCCCCAAGATACCGTCACTCATCTCCTGCCCAACCGAACAGGAAATAATGCACCAGGAGCCTTGTTGAATCAGGCAGGGATAAACATTCAAATGGACTTTGCCACAAGGAAGCAACTACTCATTTATAATGACCATTCCCTTTTTCTATTGGCATGTAAGCCCTTCCCCACTAGAGTTGAGGTTACACCAGGTCTTTGCAGGGTGAGATGTATTAGAAATGTAGAAGGTGGGGAGGAGGACAGGATTCTGGTGGTGTTATGAGGTAAAAAGGGCCTTAAGGTTTGAATCAAGCCACCCAAGGGTCATTTTGGATTGCGAGAGGGGTGGCAGATAAACTTAATAAACAAACCAAGTAACCCAATTCTAAAAAAAAAGAAAAAGAAGTGGGTTGGTATGGAATAGTTGATCCTATCTACTCTAGGTTCCAAGGCCTGCAGAATACAGGTGCTCCTCGAATTACAACCAGGTGTGGTATTCAGCAGGTTTTGACCAGTTCTGGAGAACCGGTAGCGGAAATTTTGAGTAGTTCGAAGAACTGGCAAATCCCACTTTTGACTGGCCCCGCCCCCATCTCTTCTCTGCCCCCCAAGTCCCAGCTGATCGGCTGAGTCATCTTTTGTTGCCCTGCACAGGAGAACGGAGCTGGAAAGCAGGTTAGTGAGGTGGGGAGGGAATGGGGATTTTGCAGTATCCTTCCCCTGCCATGCCCACCAAGCCATGCTATGCCCAGCAAGCCACGCCCACAGAACCAGAAGTAAAAAAAATTGAATCCCGCCACTGAAGGGCACTGGAAAAAGTGACATATGGCCAGGGTTTTTTACATTTACAGCCATTGCAAGCAACCCTCATTCTCATATGATCAAAATTCAGGTGCTTGGCAACTGACTCATATTTATGACGGTTGCAGCATCTTGGGGCTGTGAACTTCTGACAAACGAAATCAATGCGGAAGCTGGATTCACTTAAAGAACCTAACAACTGCAGTGATTCACTTAACAACAGTGACAAGAATGCTTGTAAAATGGGACAAAGTTCGCTTAACAACTGTCTTAGCTCGCTTAGCGACATAATTTAGGGGCTCCGTTGCAATTGTAAGTCGTGGACTACCTATATAGGATGAAAGGCTGAATGTGATGCACGAGCCTGTTCTATCCCCAACTAAATGCAGGAAAATAATGTCTCAGAAATCACTGAAGAAGGGAAGACCCCGGAACTATGCTGGAACCACGATAGAATGCATGCTTTTTTTTAAAAAAAAATGTAGTATCTTACCCAGAACCACGATCCAATTATTTGTCAAGAGGTTGAAGCAGTGAGCCGCTGTTAGAACCCAGGTATTGGAAATCAAGGCACCTCGGCAAGTAGAATCCCTATGATGCTAGAACAAAAATTAAATTCAGTGTAAGGTTAACACCCCAGAATTATGTTCTAGGTCAGGGGTGTCTGTTAGGGATACACCCTAGCAGAATCTGCACGGCAGTCAGGCAGGCAGTCAAAATATGTGAGATAAACGTTTTTGTAGCTTACACTCAGTAAAACAGATACACAGTGCTAATTAAATAGTTTATTCCAGTTAGAGTTATAGCATAGTCAAACAGTCCATATATCATTCACTAATTCAGTCCGTCCAAGGATTATTCAGTTGCAAATTCCAGTGTCGAAAAAGAGAGGTCAGTAAACTTACAAATATCAGTCCAGTAATATATCTCCTTGCAGTAGAGATATGAAGAAGTCAAAAAACTCCTCTCTTCCTTCAGCAACTCAGCAGTAGAGGAAACACGCAGTTAACAAACCATCAATCCATGCAATCCAGTAATTGTCAGGGAATCGTCAGGTTCTCTTGCTCCCTCTTATGGTGGTTTCACACCGCACCCAAAATTACATGCTTTGCAGTTTTAAAGTGACACACACTTAAACTTACTATCATAGTTTATATATATTATTTTACCCAAACTACGTTAGGTAACCTATGTTATTCCTAACAGTGTCAAACTCAATTTAACTGAGGGCTGCATCTGGGTTGTGTTTGACCTTGGGAGGGGGGGGCGTGGCCAGGGGGCGTGGCCAGCTTGACTCATGAAGGCTGTTTTGGCCCGCGATGGCCTGCCCAAGTTCTGTTTTCCCTGAGAGAGGGCTGCAGGAGGCCATTGCAGCCAAAAACAGAGCCCGGGCGGACCACACGCAGCCTCCCCGAGCTCCGCTTTTTCTGGTAAAGGGTTTCAGGAGGCCGTCATGGCCGAAAACAGAGCACTGGCAGGCCGTGTGTGACCCTCCCAAGCTCCATTTTCACTGGCAGAGGCTCTGCGGGCCAGTTTTTTGTTGTTTCCAGGACAGGCATGGGGGTCAGATTTAGGCATCCCCTGGGCTGGATTTGGCCCATAGGCCTTGAGTTTGACACCCCTGTTCTAGGTCATCCTTCCTTGACTGAGGGGCTCTCTATATTCCCACCCTTTAATCATCCAACAGAACCAAATATCGGGGATAAAGCAAGTTAATTGCAAGTGGGGACCAGTGGCGGGATTCAAATTGTTTTAACACCGATGCGGTAGGCGTGGCTTGGTGGGCGTGCTTTGCGTGCAAATTGCATGCATGCGTGGCAAACGCGCACTTTGCATGTGTGCAGAGGCTTTCCTGCTGACCTCCTCCTGCACTCCTGTACTCTCCCTGTGTCTTCAACAGCTGACGTGCGGCAATCCACTGTGCCGCGTGATGCAGCTGAGGTTGAAAAGCAGGAAATAAAGGTCAGTATGGAGCCTGGGCAGGCCCAGAAGCTGATTGTCGGAGTGAACCAGTTCGCTCTCAGATGATCTTCGGAGCTACCGGTTCAATTGAACCAGACCGGACCGGTAGAATCTACCTTTTCTGTAAACCCCTACAGAAATCTGGGAAGAGAAAGAGATCACAATGACTTGGGCAGTGGTGGAGGAAAAGAAGAGTCTGTACTCACTGTGTTTTGGAGACGCACATGCCAAGGGTTCTTCTGGTCCCATCTTGCATTGTCCGAGTAGTTTGCCAAACCACAAATGTCCTCCAAATCTCTAGGATCTAAGACGGTTAGAAAGTTAATGAAGCTGGGAGAAAACTGATCATCATCAATCTTGCCATTTGCCACCCTCAGTTGCGTGTTCTTTCCACAGATATGTCTGTGGAGATTTTCAGTCATCCAGGTTTGACCCAAAGGTACTTTTTCAAAACACAATAATTGGACTTGTTTTTCCTTGAAAATGTTTTGCTTCTCATCTAAGAAGCTTCTTCAGTTGTGTCTGAGTAGTGGAGGAAAGAAGGATTTATACTGACTGCAAAGACTACCAATCCTTTCCTCCTCCACCATTCAGTCAGAACTGAAGAAGCTTCTTGGATGAGAAGCGAAACGTCTTCAAGGAAAAACAAGAAAGTCCAGTTGCCTCCTGAAAAAAGCACCTTTCTACATAGAAAATTTCAAGGTCTATCTGTCAGCTTTGGAAGTCATATTAGCAGCAGAAGTTTCCACGCTGCCACATTCTTGAAACTGGGAAAATTAGAGGGGGGAATTGCATGGAACGTATGTGGTTAGACATAACAGTATTCTTCTTTAAAGTCAAGGTCATGTTATTCCTGCACCTGGCTGGGGAATAGTAGAGGGGATGTCTCAAGTTGGAACGGACAGTGATTGAGGCATGTGATGGAATGATGGGTGCAGGGGGTGGATTTATAATTTTTTATTTATTGGAGGAAAACCCGGAACTTTTCCAGTTCTGGTTTTCCCAGATGTGTCAGTATAACTACTCTAATAAAAGGAAACTCTGAAAAAATGCCTATCTCAGAGTTTATAATGGAGTTGGGTTTTTCTGGAATCCTGACACTATCACTCTTTCAGCAGACAAAATATGACTTCTGTCCAAAGCCCCCCGCTGCCTTTGTTTAGAGGCAAAATTTCTCATGTTACCAGAAACAAGGTTCTGAGATTAGTTTTGGATGTGGGAAAATCAACACCTTTTTATGTCAATACTTTGCTTTGTGTGTGTGTGTGCATTTGTGTATATGCATGCCTTTGAGTCAGTGTCAATTCCTGCAATGCCCTGGACTAGTCTTTGCAGATTTGTTAGCAAGGTTTTTCGGAATTATTTGCCACTGACAGCTTCTCAGGGCCAAGAGAAAGTGACCGGTCCAAGCTACCCAGCTGGCTTCATGCCCAAGAGGAAACTAAAACTAATCTTCTAGTTTCTAGCCTGGTGCCTTAACTAGTGCACCAGACTGCCTCTCTTATTTCACATGGTTTCATTTCTATTGCGTTCTGGATCTTATTACCTGCTTTGCATAAATAAAATGATTCAAAATAGGGAAACAAATATTGAACCATCTACAACTGAACAAATAGAAAAAAACAAAAAATGAGGCAGAGGTTATACAAGGACTGTTCACATACAGGCTGGAACTATCTACAAGTAACAATAGCGCTTAGACTTATATACCGCTTCACAGTGCTTTACAGCCCTCTGCCCTCTCTAAGCAGTTTACAGAATTAGCATATTGCCCCCCCCCCCAATAATCTGGATCCTCATTTTACTGACCTCAGAAGGATGGAAAGCTGAGTCAACCTTGAACTGGTCAGAATCGAACTGCTGTCAGTGGGCAGTGTTAGCCTGCAATGCATTCTAACCACTGTGGCTCTTCAGTCCTCATAACTGCACATTTAGCAACCATTTGAAGTTACAGTAAAGCTGAACTTTAATGTTAATATTTAATACCTTAATATTTTAATGTTTGATCTTGTTTTTATTTTGTTTACAGCAAAGTTTACCGTAAGCCACCTGGAGTCACCTCTGACTCCACCACCACCTGGGTGAGATGGGCAGCATGTATATATTCCCACAGGCATAAGGCGCAAGCTGAACATTGGCTAGATGCAACCACCCTTTGCCCCTTTAACCCTTGCACCCCCATCCCTAGTAAACAAGATGGATCCTACATACCCAACAGATCTTCAAAAGCATTCTTGAGTTCCTGTGGATTTTTCATCACAAAGACATGCCTTTCCCCTGGCTTCTTTGATGCAATCTCATTCATGGCACTCAACTCAACGTCAAGGTTCCCGATGCCAAAAACATAGATATCTGAATGAAAAAACAACAGGACATGCATTGAAGATGTTACCTAGTTGGATAATGAAATGTCTGCAAGGAAACAACCAAGGGCTCTTCAAAAGCACATATGTTAACATGGGACATTCTGGAAGAGAAGACAGGACAGCCCCCAAATCTTATCAAGGGATTCTTTCACAGATTTATCAAGCCAGTTAAGTAGCAAGGATGAACAGGCTGGATGCACTGAAAGCCATATGAAATAAGAAAAATAAGAGCTTGTCAATCATTTTGAGGTAAACTAAGCAGATAGGAGATTTCCAGCATACCTGAGATGAATCCAGCAGTGGGTTTTATGCTATATTCTAAGTTCACCGAGAACATTTGCTGTGACTTAAAATGTTATTACTTTACTCAGTGGGTTGCCCAGGAAAATACCTTCACTGAAATTACTTTTCCTGGAGAGATGCAGGAGTGATTGTATTTTCTATTTTCAATTATTGCTGCAAGCCTGGCTTTCTAACAATTGCTCCTACTATTTTCCAGCAGCAGCTTTTTTCCAATTGCTCTATTTTGGGCAGCCTCTTTAATCTGAGTTGTTTCTTCTATCTAGTATGTTACTCATAGATGACTGCTAAATTTCTTACTTCCCTAATTTATTAAACAAACAAATATTAGGATATTTACAATTAATAGCTGAGTTAAATATATAAGTAAATAACTATTAAGATATTTAAATTAATAGCCGGACTAAATAATAAATAAATAAATATAAATAAATATTAAGATATTTAATAGCTGGACTAAACAATAATAAGTGCACCATCGTGCCTCCTATTGTCCCCATTTAATCGTACCTATTTTATGTATTCTTACTTATACCTATTATCTTGTAAGCGATTGACAAATCAAATCAAATAAATAAATAAAATATTAAGATATTTAATTTAATAACTGGAACAGTAAAGTGGATAATGGGCCACAACACACAGTGGTAGTTGATTGGTTGGAGAGTACCGGCTCTTGCATGAGGCAATCTAGGTTATGATTGGTTGCTGGCTATAAAGGGGGAAGTTTTCCTTTTTCCCGCCTTTTTCTTCTGCTTGCCCTGTATGCTCTGTTTGGCTGACTATCTTGGCTGATATATATATACAGTAGATGTTCAATGTATTGATTTATTTTAAAAAGCATAAGTTTGTGTCAGCATCTGTGACTTCATTTGGACACCCGCTGCTCAAATCCCTGACGATAAACAAATAAAGCCTTTACTTCTCTTGGAGAGCGTTTAACTCCAGCTTTTCTTCTGACAGTGGAAAGTGAAAGTGAAAGTAAAGGCTTTCCCCAGAAAGTAGAAAGCTGTGCTTATAATGAAGGCTGATCTCAGCTTCTCATGATAACGCTTGGATTTTGTGAGAGTGGAAAAATTGAGTGTGGTCAGGGTGAAGAGTTGACGTTTGATTTATCTAGAAGCAGCAATCTGAGAGAAGCTATGAAGGCAGATATGGGAGGTAACCTGGGAAGAAAAGCATTTCAAGAGGTGAAAAAAAAATGATTTATTGAGGATTGCCTCATAGCAATCAGGGGAAATTAACTCTGGTAGGCTACAAAAACATTTATTTTGCTTCGTGTTGTGAACTCTAGGCCCCAACAACTAAGCTATACAGGTATTCCTTCTACTTATGATCAAAGCTATAACTGACCCCCAAAAGTGGGGCTTATGACCCAGATTCAAAGTTCTGACAATCATAACCACTCGGAAATCATGTGATGAAACTTTGGGCACTGGGCAATATGGTCATATATACAGCAAAGTCCTGCGGTCATGTGATCATACTTTATGACAATTTTGACTGGTGCTTACTTCTGGTTTTCAGCAAAACTGCACCCATAGTGAACCATTTCCTCACTTAAGGACCACAGCTTTTGCCTACTGACCATGGCATTGTGATGCCTCCCTTGGACGACTCCTGATTCTTCCTCGGAGGCTGGATCGAAGGAGGATGAGCTCATTCCTGGCACGTCAGGAACTGGGTTAATTAATGACTCTGAACTGAGGGCTGAAAGTGATTTACAGAGGCCTTCGGCTGGGGACAGTTTGCAGGTCAATGAAGAGGAGGAGGAGGAGTTGCCTTCCATGCTGGATCCAAGAGCACGCAGGGCAGAGAAAAGACAAGAGCAAAGGAGATCTGCCAGATTACTCAAGAGAAGGCCCTGCCCATCTTGATGGGCTGCACCATCAAGCTATTTATCAGGCAGAGGGAGACATAGCTGGGAACAACGTGTTTGTTTTGTGGCTGTGTGTTTGTTAGTGCTTCCTGCTTGACTTTGTGCCTTGGAGACTCTCAACTTCTTTTGCCAAGTAAACTCTTGTGGATGTACTTTACGTTTTGCCTAGTGGCTTTAACTATGTTTGGTGGACTTACTTGTGGGAGCAACTTTCCATTGTTTTATGGACTATTGGCTTTATTTTGGGAAATTCTGAGGCTGGGTGAAGGGAACTGCTGGAAAACCTTAATAAACTCTCCAAAACAGGGGTCTCCAACTTTGGCAATTTTACGACTTGTGGACTTCAACTCCCAGAATTCCTCAGCCAGTCCACAAGTCGTAATTTTGCCAAGATTGGAGACCGCTGCTCTAAAACACACTTACATGTGTGTGTGAGTGAGTGGAGTAGGACAGGCATTTGCCTCACAACCACTGCAAAAAATTAGTCAGTCATGTGACCAATTCATTTTAGGATCATGATGGTATACAGTACGTCCATAATGGACAGGCTCCATTTCAGTCATATGTTGAGGATTACCAGAAGTGGGTTTTCAATTGAGCAGAGATTCAGTCTGCTGTAGAAAAACAAGATTCTTGAGGGACGGGTTGGTATCGCAAAGTAACACAATTCATTCTTTTGAAAAAAATCAAGCATGGTTTTCCTGACTCACCGAGATAATCTTTTCGGTCATCTCTCACATTTACCAGATCTTCTATGCTGTGCACTGCCATTTTGGGAGAACCTCCAAGGTTGGATTTTCCTGAAAACAAAAAAAAGAAAAAAAATTAGAGGGCAAAATCAGAGAGTAATTCCCAACTCATAGAAGTGTGCCAAGAGGAATAAGTTGTGGAAAACTCAAGGATGATCATATCGAACTGGAGAGATTTAACCTGGAAATAAGGAGAAACTCTCTGACAGTGAGAACAATCAAGCAATGGAACAGCTTTGCCTTTGGAAGTTGTGGGAGCTTCATCCCTGGAGGCTTTCAAGAAGAGATTGGACTGCCATTTGTCAGAAATGGTGTAGGGCAGGCTTGTCCAACCCGCGGCCCGGGGTCTGCATGCGGCCCAGGTCAGCTCGTAATGCGGCCCAGTGCCCACCCCAACCTTCGTGCAAGAGGACGAGCCAGCGAGGAGGAGGAGGAGAGGCAGGCGCGAGGTGGGGCGAGGTGAGCGCCACGCCAAGCAGCAACAGAAAAGGCAGGCGCCGTCAGAGCGCTCCTCGTGCCGAGGCAGCTGCAGCCCAAGAGTCCCGCTCCGCCACCTCCTGCTGTTGCCGCTGCTGCTGCCACCGCCACCGCTGTGGCTGCCGGAGCTGTTGTAGCGGCTTCTGCCCCCGCCGCTGCTGCTGCTGCTGCACCGAGGCTCCTGGTCCTCGCCTTCCAGTCCTGATGCATCCAGCCAGGCCATTTGCAGGAGGAGAGGTAGGCGCGAGGCGGGCGAGCTTTCTTCCCCCCCCACCACGTTCCTTTCTCCCTGGTTGACTATTTTTTATGATATCTTATGAAAAAAATGTTTTCTATGGTTTTTTTGGATGATCAGGTATCGTTACTGTTATTTTATTTTATGTGCGGCCCAAACCAAATTTTCATCTTCTAATGTGGCCCAGGGAAGGTGAAAGGTTGGACAAGCCTGGTGTAGGGTCTCCTGCTTGGGCAGGGGAGGGGGTGGCTGGAGTAGATGACCTACAAGGTCCCTTCTATCTCTGATGGTCTGTTATCTGGTGTAGTGTTCTTAAATGAAAAACAAAAATAGGCAAGATGAGAAAAATGAAGACCTGGGCAGTCTGAAGACCACGACCAGGTACTAAAATCAAGAGAGAATTTTTTAAAAAATCCCTTTGATTAATAGGCTAGAGCCTGGCTTTGAAACACTAAATTTCAGACTAAATCTCCGTCTAGTGGAGGCTTTTGAAGGCCACAGGCAAAAGGGTTCCCATCATAGATGGTCAAAAGAGAAAACCAAGAGAGGGATGGTCCAAAGAGCTCGTTCTTAGAACAAGGAGGGTGGAACTTTCTGTGCTTCAGAACCGCATTCCCGCAAAAAATAAAAAATAAAAAATGGGGCAGCTAATGTAACTTCTTACTTCTGGTCCCAAAGATGCTTTTCCAAAAGGCAACGGGGCTTCCTTGGTTTGCTTCTTTGAAAATGTTTTGCTTCTCTTCCAAGAAACCTCTTCAGTTTTTCTTCAATTAGAACTGAAGAAGCTTCTTGGGTGGGAAGCGAAACATTTTCAAAGAAAAAAAAAACCCAAGAAAATCCAATTGCCTATTGGAAAAGCACCTTGGGGACAGCCATGACCTGGATGAATGAGAATCTCCATAGACTTTCTGACTTCTGTCACATTAAACCACACGCATGCTTAAAACTGGGCAGCAATTTTTGCAATTTTTGGCCAGCGTCCTGTCAGTGTGTGAGAGAGTTGAGGGCTGTTTGGAAACTGAAACAGTATTTGCTGTGAGAGCAAGAACAAGACAGCAAAGAGCCTGGGTGTGGCTTAGCTCAACTGTTCCGTACTAAAGCTGGTTGCTGATGTGAAACTAAAACTGAAAATCCTCTCCTCTGCTTGTGTTTTGTATTTGGAACAGATTTCTTTTCAGGTGGGGAAGGGGAGTAGAACTCCTTAGCATCAGAGCCTGTTAATAATAATATAGGAAATACTAATGCTCTCATGGTCATTTAGAAAAATCCTTTCTTAGTGAGCACCTAGAAGCCAAGAGGAACATACGAGCCAAATTTCAAGTTTGTAGGCTTTACGGTTCTGGAGATTTTGTGATGATGCGTGTGGTATTTTGTTTATATATATATATATATATATATATATATATATATAGATTGCTAGTTGGTATTCATGCATTTGCTCTTCTAGTCTCCTGCCTTTTTGTCCTATGTAGTGGTTGTTGCAATCTTTACACTGCATGCTGTAGATCAGTGGCCCTCAATCTTTTGGGCACCCAGTTCTGCGGAGAGAGTTTTGTCAGCGGACTGGAGCAGGCATGGTTTCGCGTGCTGCCTACGTCCCACAAATGGGGCTTCGCTTGTTTGCGTGGCCCAGTTTCTGGCATGCCGCAGACCATTGCCGGTTCACGGACCAGGGATTGGGGACCCCTGCTGTAGATGACTCCTGTTTTTGCCTTAAGGGGCTGCTGGCTCTTTTGGTTTATTTAGCATGATTTTAGAAGGCTTTAGTTGGTTTGTGTGCTACACTGATGCCATCTGGTTACGATAGTCAGTTTGTGGTTTCCAACATGCTTTTGATGCATGGAGGTGTGTGTTATTGTGTTGTCCAGACAGTATATAGGTAATAGGAATTGGGATAGTTAGCTAGGAATTGAGAGCTGTCCCCTTAAGGGAATGCATCATGGTAAACGGAGTTAAAGCATCCTGGGAAAAGTAGTCCATGTCATGTGGTCACATTTGTAATCCTGATTGGTCACTGAATTGACCCTTGGTGGGTTGGGGGAGGTTCCTTCACTCTTGCCTGAACCCCAGCAGCATGCTGGTGCCTCACCTCCTCGCTCCTTCATTATGGGGATGAAAAGATCACTATCCTTTTACACTATGAATTCAGCTATGCAAAGATTTGGACATTGAGATGAATCTTGACGTAACCGTGAGTTATATATGAGGATGCCCGATGAACCAACAAAGAAACTTTGTATGGATGCCTTTGTGGAGTTATCTGTCTGTCTTTACACATTCAGCCAGTAATTATAAAGGACAGAACAGTTATCCTTTTCACAGCTCACGTGATAAGAGCAACACAATGAGAGCAAACCCCACTGCCCCCCTAGAAGGGATGATGTTATCTAGTTTGGGTAATGAACATCTGCAAGAAAACAACCAAACTCAGAGAGCAACCCCGAGCTACAAATATCCACCTATACTGGTACAATAGCCATTGCTAGATAGTGAGCAGTCTCCCCCCAAATCACCCCCCTCCACTTTCAATCACCCCATTTCTCCTTACCATCCGTAAGCAGAATGATAGCATGACGGACTTTGTTCCATTGATCTTTCAAACTTGCTTCTTCACTAACCATCATCTCGTAAACCGCATTAAGGGCCGCATAAATGTTGGTTCCCGTCGCGTTGCCATGATCTGCAAAATGGGCTCAGTTAATCTTGAGATTCTTCTTAAACCTCAGTTTCTCTAAGGCTTGAGAGGCTTATACAGGTCGTCCTTGAACTTACAACAGTTTGTTTAGCGACTGTTCAAAGTTAAAACAGCACTGGGAAAAAAGTGGCTTAGGACAGTTTTTCACGCTTGCAATCATTACAGCATCCCCATGGTCATGTGATCAAAATTCAGACACAATGATGACCCGGGGCATGGCACAAAGGCAACACAGTCAGACAAGCAATAAGAGTCCCTTTATTATCTCCAACTTTGCCCCCAAGGTCCAGGTTACCTTCAGCCTGGAGAAAAATTCTCCCAGGAACAGCCTTTGACTGTAGCCTTTATCAAACTGTAGAAAATCCAGTCCAAAACAAGATACACACAAACTGCAACTTAAGATCCAAACAAACCAAACTGGGTTTGGCAGGGCAGGAGCAGGAATTTCAAACTTGAAAGCATGGCAAAACTCACACAGTTGGGAAGATGCCAGGAACACAGATAAGCCACAACAATAAAAGATAAAGTCATGCTTGCTCCCAACAGCTTGCTGCACGCAGCTTGCCTTTTTTCATACACTGTGTTCCCAGCTGCAGCTAATGAAGGGAATCAGGGCCCTTTCCTCCCCTGTAAGCCATGCAACCCATGTTGCTCTCTCCTCCATTCCTTCCTGTGTGCCCTAGGATGAAGAGGGGGTGGGCCTGGGTCTTCCTCTGAACTCCCTCTCCCTTGTTCTTCCTCTCTCCTGCTCTGCCCAGCTGGACTTTGCCCTTCCCCAGTTTCTTCCACAGCCAATGGAGCCACACTCCCACTCCCTGTCAGCTATTTGGCTTCCTCCTCCGGGTCAGATTCCAATATGGGCATGACAGACGCTTGACAGCTGACTCATATTTATGACAGCTGCAGTGTCCTGGGGTCATGTGACCTACCTTTTGCAACCTTTGGACAAGCGAAGTCAATGGGGAAGCCGGACTCACTTAATGACCGTGTTACTAATTAAACAAGCGTGGCAATTCACTTAGCAACTGTGGCAAGAAAGATCGTAAAATGGGGCACAACTCAGTGTCTCACTTAGCAACAGAAATGTTGGGCTCAATTGTGGTCGTAAGTCAAGGACGACTTGTAAAGTAAGCATACAAAAGAACAACAAACAGCACAACACAGGAGGCAGTAAGAGGGAACTGCAGTAGATAACATTCTCCAAAGTTTTGTGGATTTTTTTGGGGAAAAAAAGAGTGGGAAGACCCCACTGGCCTGCATGAACGTGGATGAAATGAATGCTGCTTTGAGATTCCAGTTCAACACTTACTTTATCAAATGTTGCTGTGGAGTTTTGTTTTATTTATTTATTCAGCGTGTAGCATCTACAGAGGACGTGCTGTGGGGTGAGTGCTATCAAAAAAACCAAACAAACAAGAAACAACTGCCTCGTTTTTTAAATGCAAAAATCCTCAAAGCGAACCAACCAATCTGGCTACCCGAGGGTCTGATTATCTCCAGGGGTCTGTGTCAGCCTTCTCAGATGGGTCAGAGATGAGCTAATTCTCCTTTATTCTAAGGCTATGTTAAGGCACATCTGAAAGTACAAATCTCCCACTGTTTCACTTTACCACCTGACAGATAGGGAACTTCCTTTATGAGTTTTTTTTTCTCTGTGTATTATAGAGCTGCAGCCCGCCTGTCCCCTAGTTTGATTCTTCTCTAAACAGCAATTCACTCTGCATGAGATGGCTGGCCATGGGAAGTTGATAGATAATTTTTTTATAGTTTTCCCTCCGTTTCCGAAGGCCATCCCCAAATGCCATTACAGTCCATGCCCGTTGGCATTAGTTAAAAAGCCCCTCTTTGAGGGAGATAGGTGGTTTAGAAATATGGAAAGAGAGAGAGGGAGGGAGGGAGGGAGGGAGGGAGGGAGAGAAAGAGAAGGAGGGAGAGAGAGAGAGGGAGGGAAGGAGAGAGAAAGAGAAAGAGAAGGAGGGAGAGAGAGGGGGGGAGAGAGGGAGAGAGAGAAAGAAAGAAAGAAAGAAAGAAAGAAAGAAAGAAAGAAAGAAAGAAAGAAAGAAAGAAAGAAAGAAAGAAAGAAAGAAAGAAA